GCGGAGCCAGGGAGGGCTCCGGGGAGAAGCAGAGCGCACCGGGCTCCGGGTTCAGCGCCGCGTCGGGAACGCTGCTGCTGGGAGGGCTGTAGGTCAAGTCCAGGATCTCGTCCTGGCCCAGGGGGTGCCGGGGCAGGGCCAGCCCGGGCCCGGGCAGGAGGTGCAGGGGCAGGGAGAAGGGAGAGCTCTGCTCCTGGGCCTGCAGCAGTCGACTGTGCTTCCTCTTGACGTCCTCGTCCATCTGCTTCAGCTCCGCGCGCACCTTGTGGACGCAGCTCTCGGGGATCTTTATCCCTGCGGGAGGAATGGGCGTCAGTCCCCCAGCACCTCTGGGAGGGACAGGGAGCAGCACCTAGGGCTGTTCACATGGGCACGGAGGGGACAGTCTGGGGTGACCCCAGCTCCCCTCCTTCCCACGGAGTCACCTCAGCAGTAGGTGCCTCCAGGCCCTAGGAAGGGAATCCTGGTGCTCCATCCCACTTCCCTTCCCCTTCCCAGCACTTCACCCACCGACTTGTTTCTTCTTCTCCTTGGTCTTGAGGCGCACGATCTGCAGGTAGCTGCTGCTGGTGATGTCTGCCATGATGCTGGCGATCCTGCTCCACACCCGCAGCAGGGCCCCGCATAGCATGTAGTAGTGCCGCAGCCGCATGCCCTGGAAGCATTCCTTCCCCTCCTGGATCAGTTTGCAGCTCTTGTTCCTTCGGTTACCACGGGAGAAAACCATTGGAATTAGCAGGGACTCCTGCAGCAGAGCAAGATCTCCCCCTGCAGCCTCCCCCACACCACAGCCAGGGACCACCTCCAGCACAGGCCCTGCCTGGGGAGGGAGGACACTGCTTAATAGCTTTAAGCTGAAAGAGATTTAGATTGGATATTGGGAAGGAATTCTTCCCTGCAAGGGTGCCGAGGCACTGGCACAGGTTGCCCAGAGTAGCTGTGGTTGGGCCATCCCTGGGAGTGTTCCAGGTTGGACAGATCTTTGACCGGGGCCAGTGGAAGGTGTCCCTGCCCATGGTAGGGGGTTGCTCTGGGTGGGCTTTAAGGTCCTTCCAACCCAAACCATCCTGGGACTCTGTGTCAAGCTGGGGCTACAGCTGCCTTACCACACAGCGTGGTTACAGTTCTTCAGGGAGAAGTGGTAGTTGCTCTCCCAGTGCTCCTTGGCTTCCTCAGGCAGCACCTGCAGAGAACACTCAGCATTAGGGATTTTCCACTGTCCAACACGCAGCAGAGATGTGAAACCCAGTGCTGGGCATCAGGATGTCCTGGTGCCACCACCATCCGTGCCCAACCACAGCAGGGCCACGAGGAGCTGTGACAGTGGGGACAGCGAAGGTCCTTCCACAGTCCCACAGCTCCCACCTACCCGCTGGTACTTCTTCTGCAGACTCTCCAGGCTCTCAGGCTGACTTTGCTTCCCAATGTTTGGCTTGTAGAGAGTGAAGTTCTTCCCACGGCCCTGCTCTGCCAGCAGACAGGTGTGTTTGCTGCCTCGCATCTGGAGGGGACAGCTGATGGTTACAGTCACAGCCTCTCCCCCCAAGCCCACATTTCTCTAAACTAACCCCTTCCTTCCAGGATGGAGCTCTTGGAAGCATCTCCCAGGCCCCAGGCAGAGGTCAGACAAGGGCCTCAAACAGCCACGGCAGATCTCTCCCTGGAGTGACCCGACACAGCCCTGGCACCCACCTTGTTGGAGAGGTAGAACCCGTCAAAGGCTCCTGTCAGTTTGAGAGACTTCTCATACGCCTCCTCCCACTTTAGGCCTCTGTCCACGCTGATCTGAACGAGGACACACACAGGGATTTGGAACTCCAGGGGCAGGACAAGAGCCTTGGTGCCTGCCCCACAGATCCCACCCTCAGCCAGGCAGACAGGTGCCCACCTTGTAGAACACGACCTGCCCGTCCTGCGGGTGCCCTGGGGTCAGGAAAACCTCCTTGCTCTCCTCGTAGATCTCATCCACTCCTGGGGCTAAATCTGTGCAAGGAAAAAAGGCTGCTATAGGGCACATCTTCCCAATCTTCCTGAGGCCTCGTGACCCGTGCTGGGCAGGGACACAGCAGTGCCCAGGATGGCCATGGAATCACCCTCAGGCAGCACAGTGAGGAACAGGAACCCCAGGGGTGCAGAGCTCTGGCCACCCCTCCCTCTCCGTACCCAGAATGCCCATGTCGTATTTGCCCTCCTTCTTGTCCTGCTCAATCAGGTAGTCAAAGGTGTCAGAAAAATACTGGAAGAGCATGTTCTGCTTGTCCACCTCCAGGCCCAGGATGCGGTTCAGGAACTTGGTGATGGAACAGTCTGCAGGAGAATAGTGGGTCAGGAAACATAGTGCAGCTGGGCATGGCACCCACCAGTCCCTCCCAGAGAGCCCCCAGACAGCCCCAACCAGTCCCACCACATCCCTTCGGACAGAGCCCAGCCCAAGGGCTGTTCTCCTCGAGGCAAACATCCTGCCCAGGTGCCCAACAAACCCCACGAGGCTGGGTGGGCTGTGACACTCCTGCCTCTAACACTTTCCCCCTGCTTTGGGCAGGAACAGCCCAACACTTACCCTTCTCCACCAAGACAGTGCCGTACTTCATCTGACTGCAGCAGACCCCCACAGAGATGAGACCCTGCTTCATTTCTGGAATGGCAGAAGACACCTTGTGCATTTTGGGGCTAAGCCTCCCCTCAGCAGCCTTGCAGGGCTGCTTGCCCTCCAGCAGTGCCCACTGCTTCTCAGCTCAGCCTCCCCCACACCTGGCAGGGTGACACCATCCAGCTCACAGTGAGCTGCTGAGCCAGTGGCAGCTTCCTCTCTCTGTCCTCTGCTCAGTTCTTCCAGCACCCCAAATTTGAGACTAACACGGCCAGCAGAAAGCCCAGAGCTGGTGGTGCTCTTACCATGGAAAAAGGCAGCCTCCCCTCCCTCGTAGCTCTTGGGCACAGGAACCCTGTTCTCTGTGTGGCTGAGGATCGTGGACAGGACCCTGTCCAGGGCTTTGGCCCCATACTGTGGGAGGAGATGAGAGTCACACAGAGTAGGAACCAACACAGGCAGCTGAGCCACAGGCTGAGTGTCACACACACTGCTGAGTGTGTCACACACACTGCTGAACACTAGACAGAACACTGTCACCTTGGGAAGGCCATGGACATGGTGGGTGTGCAAAGGGAAAGCTCCATCAGGGGCCTCCTGTGTCCCCAGGAGAACAGAGCAGAGGGACCTGCACATGCTCACCCTGGTGCCAGCACCAGCCTGGGCACAGAGGCCTGGGCGCCCTTCCCAGCTCCTGCTGGGAGCAGAGTCCTCTCCCTGCCCACGACTCCTGCTTGCAGGTGCAGGGTGCTGGGTGCCAGGTACAGGGTGTTGGGTGCCAGGTACAGGGTGCTGGGTGATAGGTGCAGGGTGCCAGGTACAGGGTGCTAGGCCCAGCCCTGCCTGCAGATGCCAGCAATGCTCTTCCTAGCTCCAGCTCCCACCACAGGCTCTCCCACCCCTCCCCAGCCCTGTGTCAGCACCTTGTTCTCGAAGTTGTACTTGCTCAGGTCCCGAGTCTCCGTGGCCCTTCGGTCCCCGTGAGTTAAGGCACCCTGGGAAGGCAGAGGGAGGACAATGTTCAGGCTCAGAGCTGGGGCACAGTGCCAGGGAAGGATCGCCAAGGGCACTGGGATGGTCTGGGAAGAGGCAGGGAAGGGAATGTGCCATGGGCAGGCAATGTTCTCCTGAGGCCTTACCAACGGGCTTGGGCAGTTATCAGAAGTGAAGAAAATGAAACTGTGACAAACTGATTATGCCACCAATTATATCATCAGCTTTTTGGGAATAAAATGGGTGGGGGAATTCCAGCATCTGGAATTGGGTTCTGCTTCCCTGAAATTCCTCCCAGTGCCTTGGTTACATATTCTTCCACATTTCATGTCCCAGATCCCAGCATGCTAAAAAAGCCTTCTGCACCCCACGGCTGCAGTGCACAGCCAGGGGTGATGCACCCCCAGTTACACTGGCTGTGCCCATGGGACTCCCAAGATGGAATCTGCCCCAAAGGAATCAGAGCCACACACTGATCTCTGCTGTGTGGGCACTCACCAGGCTCTCCAGGCGCTTCGCCACGATGGATGCAAACCTCCTCTCCCCTGCCAGCTCCGAGATGAGGAACACGTACTCCGGAGCAGAGACCTGGTTGGATCTGTGCGTTCGGCCTGCAGGGGTGGGAGGGAGGTTGGGATGGTCTGTCTGGTGTGAGAACGTAACCACGACAGCCAAATAATGCCCATCCTGCTCACCCCAGGGAATCCCTACCCTGCCCAGAGCTATGAACACAACTCTGCCAAGTCTCGGCAGCACCAGGGTGTGACTCTGCCCCTGCCCTTTCCCCCAAGAGGCATGTCCCGAGTGTGCCTGGCTGAGCCAGGCACTGCCCGTGCACCTCCCAGGGCTGCCCAGGGTGCCAAGCCTGACCCACAGCCAGGACAGGGTGCCCAGGACACCCAGCCCTCACCAAACTGCTGGATGGCTCGGTCAGCGCTCCAGGGCAGCTCCAGGGTCATGTGGACACGGCGCCTCTGGTTTTTCACCCGTCTGTCTGCTTGGAGGGAGATCCCTGAGCTGGAGGCCTCTGAGATTATCGCTACGAGCTACAGAGAGACGAGACCAGAGTGAAGTTCCTGGATGTGTGAAACTGCTCCAAGGAACAGCCCCAAGCACAACAGCAGCCCCAGCCAGGAAGGGACTGGGAATCCTCATCCCCTTCCTGCAGGTCAAACCCAGGGAGCTGCTGGCGCGAGGCTGGCAAGGCACAGGGTGCCCAGCACCCCCTGCCCTCCCCGGGTTGGAGGTTCCCTCATCCCTGACCCACCTTCTCCCCCTTCATGAAACGCTCCTTCTCCTTGAGGTTGACGTGCTCTATGGATAGCCCCTGCTCGGCGCGGGACTCAAAGACGACGGCGCCGTCGGGTCTGCGCACCACACGGCCCTTGCGCCCCGTCATCTGCAACAGGGCAGGGTTACGGGGGGCACACTCAGAGCCCATTCCCAGCCCGAAACCCTCTGCCAGCAGGAACCTCCTGGGTTTTGCTATGGCAGGAAGCTGCTGAGGCACTGGCACAGGTTGCCCAGAGAAGCTGTGGTTGCTCCATCCCTAGAAGTTCCGGGCCATAGGCTTGGATTGGAGCAACCTGGGCTAGTGGAAGTTGTCCCTGCCCAAGGCATGGGGTGAAATAGCATGATCTTAAATCCCCCTTCCAACCCAAACCATTCCATGGCTCTATGACTCCTGGCTGGTCCCTGTCCCTCAGTGCCCCCAAAATACACTCCTGGTTGTGAGGAGTACCTCAGCCACATTCTCCGGGCCCCCAAAGTGATCGATCAGTTCATCCAAGGTTAGTGGAAGTTGTCCCTGCCCAAGGCATGGGGTGAAATAGCATGATCTTAAATCCCCCTTCCAACCCAAACCATTCCATGGCTCTATGACTCCTGGCTGGTCCCTGTCCCTCAGTGCCCCCAAAATACACTCCTGGTTGTGAGGAGTACCTCAGCCACATTCTCCGGGCCCCCAAAGTGATCGATCAGTTCATCCAAGGTGTTGAGAGGTAGCTCTTTGCCCAGTGCTTTCACTTTTGCTAGGAGGTCTTGCTTCATCTTCTCCACGTGTTCCAGCTCTTTCAGGCTGTGCAGCTCTTTCTGGGAAGGCAGCAGGTGGAAATTACCTGCCATGCAAAAGGCAAAAATTGAGTTACCTGGTAACAGAGGGGAGAAAAGTTGTCCCAGAGGGAATCTGGGGCCACTATCAACAGGAAAACACACTGTGACCTGCAGTAAATGCTGCTGAGCACAGAGTGAATTCCCTCTGGGCTTGCTCACCCTGTTTGGCTGCGGGAAGGAGCATGCAGGGCAAATCCCTCCTGTTCGCTGATCACAGCGGGGAACGTGGATCAGCCACACAACCCAAATGTGACCAGCAGGATAAAATCCTGCCAGGCCCCCAGGCTGTCCCAGGCCAGAGCTGCTGTGCCATGCCAGGCCCCAGTGGCTGCAGCTGCCCCACACTCCTCTCACCCCTGTCCTCGGCGCAGCCATTGTGCATGTCCACGAAGATGACATCGTCCGTCTCAAACAGAGACTCGGGGGAGGAGTTGAAGTCACTGTCGAGCCCCATGTCGGAGTCGGTGCTGCTGTCATCGCTGATCTTGATGACCCCCACGGGGTCACAGAGGCCCCTCAGAGCCTTGGGGCAGCGACCCCTCGGCCTCCCTGCACAGAGACAGAGAGCGTCATGTACCGGGCCTAGCGAGGCAGCGGCACAGGGCAGCTCAGGCACAGGAGGAACAGCCCCAGGACAGCTGAGACTGCCCCAAATGACAGGCTGAGCTCGGAAACACAGAGCCTCCGGGGCTGAGAGGGCAGGGAGGGAGGGAGGGACGGAGGGAGGGAGGAGAAAGGAAGAGAGAGAAAGGAAGAACAAGGCACTCCTGGCCAGGGCTGAAGCTGGCTGCACACGTCAGGACAGACACACGGCTGCTCAGGGAAGAAATCCCAGGGGACTGACTCCAGCAGTGTGCAGGACACGGGAAGGAGCCAGTGTTTTGGGACATGGTTTGCTTCCAAGCACAGCAAGACGTGACTCTGCTAGGTGAGAGGGTTCACG